AGACAGACAGACAGACAGACAGACAGACAGACAGACAGACAGACAGACAGACAGAAGGAAACAAGAGTAAGCACATCAGTAAGTGAGAACGTGCAGCGGGACCGTATTCACATGGGTGAGCACTCTAGTCTTTAACTTCTTGTGTACTGAACTGCGTGGAGAGCACTATCAAATTCTACCATTACTCATGTACACCTATTCTTATCTTTACTACTATATGGCTCTTCTGCGTCTTGACTGACGAGCTTACAGCAGTACGCATGATACAGCTTTGCGTGGGCGGGAGACTCAGAGGAAGTAGATTACCTATGAGATAACCCCCTCCCTTCAGATCTTGACCTCCTTGATAGAGAGACATAGTCAACGCGTTTGAAATCTTTGAAAGGAATAAGTAACGGTGTGTCTTTCTATTTAACAGTCGTGATAGGTATTTCTTTAATTGTAGAGCATTTAAAGAAAAAAAAATTTAATGTGTCCGGTTGGAGGCCTCATGGCCAACTCTTCTGCGATTTTCAACCACCAAGAGATCTTTAAACCTTTCACGTGCACAAAAGACGTCCGAGATTTTTCGTCCTTGTCCGATAAGACTCGCTGCTCGATCGTTCCTGCTCCTGCCGTAACATCAGAAAAAAATAAAGCCTAAAGTGTCCAAGACGACCACTCATTTACCAAGGTGAAAACTGGTTGTCTTATACAGGCCGCCAACTAGGACAGTGTCGTTTTAATACAGATAAAGCTCAAAGGCGAGAAAGTGAGAAGTGGTGGTTTGTACAGGTATACTGTCTAAGTCAGGTGGGCGTTAGAGCAGGTTCAACCAGAGACCGTAAACATTTGGTCGCTTTTAAGCACAAGGGGGCTATCCCGAAAAATGCTGTTTTGAGAAAATCGACGGTAAAGTTTTTGCCTCTTGTTCAGACAAGGAGACTTTTCTCTATAATCAAACAAATAAACACATCAATGAAAACAAACTTCTCCTAATAGGTAGGGCAATGCCCACTTTTGGTGTAGGTCTAGACTTCTGGAAACCCCCGAAATCTGGGTTAGCCCGCTTGTCCTTAAAAGCGACCATTTATAATCATTGGGTTCAACCTTAGTTCTATTCTTAGATCTCCACTTACCGAAAGCCTCTAGCACGGTGTTGGCCTCCAGAATCTGCTGCTCTGTCCAGAATGACGTGTGGTTGGTCACGGAGCACAGGTACTGTAGGATGAACTTCGTCGTCTCCGTCTGAGGACAGAATAGTGTGACGTCATGAGTTTAGTTTTTCTTGTTGTTGTTGTTATTTTGTTTGCAACGTAGTCGGGATGCGTCTGTGCACACACACACACACACACACACACACACACACACACACAC